GTACTCCCCAAAGATCTCTTGGTGCTGCTCAGCAAACTTGATATACCTGGGAAAGATATTCGAATAATCAATAACCTATACTGGCAGCATACTGCCTGCATATGGATAGAAAATGAGTTCAGCAGATATACAAAAATAGAAAGGGGTGTAAGACAAAGATGTGTCTTTTCACTGGATTTATTCAACTATACATCGAGGCGAATCTGAGAGAACTAGAAGTCCTATTCATTATTAGCGGCTAAAATCTTAACATAAAGTATGCTGGTGACACCGTGTTGATAGTAGACGCAGAAAAAAAGCTCCAGAAACTCCTACAGAAGGTAGTGAAGATACGCGAGAAGAAAGGATTAAACATCAACTGCAAGAAAACAAAATGCGTGCTTATTAGCAAACGGATGAGCCCAAAGTGCGAATTGAAAATCGGAGATAGCAAAATCAAACACCTACACAAATTTAAATATCTAAGAAATGTTTTAACAGAGGACAGAAAATGTGACACTGAAATCCGAAGGCGGATTGGGATAGCTAAGGAAGCATTCCAAAAACTAAGCAGAGTACTAAGAATTTGAAAAATTTCGTTAGAAACAAGAAAAAGAGTAACTAAACTGCTACGTGATATTTGTCCTCTTGTATGGCAGTGAGTACTGGACGATCTCCTCAAAGATGAAGAGGAGACCTGAAGCAATAAAAATGAAGTTCTACAGAATTATGATGAGGATATCATGGATCGAATATGTGAGCAATAGAGAAAAAATGGTAAAAAAAGGAAACTAATAATTAACTTCAGGAAGAGATAGTTAAAGATTCTGAGGCACATAATGAGGAAGTGGGGCTTGAAAAATCTTATACTCACGGGACAAATTTAAATATCTAGGAAGTGTTTTAATAGAGAGCAGAAAGTGTGACACTGAAATCTGAAGGTATATTGGTATAGACAAGGAAGCATTCCAAAAGCTAAACAGAGTAGCAAGAAATAGAAAAAAATCGCAAGAGAGACAGAGAAAACAACGCATAAAATACTTAGTGAACTTGACTAAATGGATGGCGGAACAGGGTTTAGGAGAAATAACAGAAAATCAAAGTTTATTAAAAGCCACAAGATTCAGGAAGTTGTGGAGAGCCATGATCGCACACGTCCTGAAGGGACACGGCACGTAAAGAAGAAGGAAGACCAGAATAAACCTTAATCCAAAAACACCATATCTCTTGAAAACGTCGGATGAATGAAAAACTTTTCAACCAAGTATTTACAACTTTTGTCTGGTCAAGAAAGAAGCATTTTGTCGAGCTAATAGAATATTGCATTGAATATCTACAAAAACGGGCCTGTAAATAAGTTTCATCATCATCGAGCAGACCCGAGTTTTCTCCAGTCATGATAAAAGGTTGTACACTCAATAAGGCTACTTGCCTGGAACGTCCATTCGGATTCAATCTCACAAAAAATGAAACTCGTATATACGATCCATCTGGAAAAATAGTCTGCTCCCTGCACCACTCCAGAAATACCAGACTTCCCCTAACATGCTCAATCTTTACAAGAGCCAAATCAGACCAAAAATGGAGTATTGCTGCTACATCTGAACTGGAAAAATCCAATCCCCACTTTCTAGCCTCAACTGATTTCAAAGGCGTTTTGCGGCCTTGTGGGGGATGAATTTATTTTCACTCTTCAACGCTTGTCCCACAGACAAAATGTTGTTAGCCTCTCGCTAGTCTATCGCTATTTTCATGACAATTGTTCGGGCTAACTACATTTCATGGTTCCACCAATCCAGACCTTCTCAACTAGGACCTGCCATGTCACGTACAATGAGTCAAATCTTTGTATTCCATTGGTAAGGAGTAAGTTCCATAGCTTCTTCCTCAGAATTGTTGCAATATGGAACGAAATCCCGAGAGGATGCTTTCCTGATCGCTTCAAATCGACAGTCGATCTTATCTCTCCTACATATCTTCATAATATGCAACCCTTGCTCTCTCACTATACGACATTACAACATTCTCAATTAGTAATTAGGTCTTGTATTGGGTGAACAATAGTAAAAAATAAATTAAAGCCTTTTTCTTAACTAATTCCAGAAGCTTTCAATCGATTTCTGTTTTCGATTGAAAGCACTTCGAATCGCTCATTGGAAGCAGTACTTGTTCGAATGGATCGTTTGATTCACTGGAAAGAGTCTTTAGTAAATCACACCATATGCATAACATCACCCATAATAGCGTTATTGGTGATTTGTTTCATTTTCCTCATGAGCACTTGCATCTCTCATTTAGTATCGACTTTTTAACACTGTTTCAAAATCGGGATGTTTTCGTTAAGTTTATGCACCGAATCGTACGAGGAAGCCACACAACAAAGCGAGTAACATAGCTAAGCTGGTACAAATAGTTTTCAACACTTGATGTGTAGATCTTGAGTATTTTGACTATATCATACGTAGTATAGTTTACATTATTATCAAGTAATATCAAATTTAATTGAAATACATGACAGAGAAACTTCGGTTAGCGAAAAACCTTCACCATAAAAGTTAACAAACCAATTTTCGATCATTCATACTACCATCTTGATCAATTGCACAAGTTCGTTTTTTGGCCGTTTGAACCTCATTCGTCAGTGCAGTGGAGGAGGTGCTGCCACAGAGGAGGAATCGCCGGGACTAAGAATACCTCATTGAAAAAACTCTCTGAAGGCAGAAACACGGAAGAAGAGGAGATCAGGTAATACATGTGTTATTTACCTGCTACTCCCATTTCGACGGTGGTGGGATATAGCACAAGGCCGGTTTAAAGTGGGGAGCCTAAGCATGTGCAACTGAGCTAAGGACCCCAAATTGCCCAGACCCTGCAACCAAGAATCTGTAATGTTATTCGTCTTGACCTGGCGTATCTGCTTCAGTCCCTTCCAAACAATGTAGCTTGCTTATGCATTTTCTATAAATACTTTCATGGCAATTGTTCTGAGGGGCACTTCGACGTGGTGTAATGGTTAGCAAGCTTGCTCGCTAAATCGATTAAAACTGGATAGTGAGTTCTATACTCACCGGGGGCTTTATACTTTCGGCCTTGTACCACGTCTAACGTACGCTTAGAAAATCACCATGGTAATTGTTCTGATGAACATTCCTCTAAGGTGTCTAGAATTTATGAATTTAAGTGCAGTACTAGATTGGCGACAAGTTTTCATCATTTACAATTGAAATGGCTGTGCTAAGTTTTTTTTCTCTCGCACTTCGCATTTGTTTAACTCTCTTCTGGTTTCTTGCTTCCCAGTCAACGTTGATACTAAAACAAATTAAATGCAATGTCAGTCGTTGTCTTCTTATTTCTTCTTTAAATGTTCTCTCTCCTTAATAGTGCTTATTTTTCTCATATTCTATCATAGTGGTTTTATTGCCTTGTTTGGGGTGAAATGATTAAAAAAATGCCCTTCATTTCTGAAAAGTTTTTTATGTTTTTTATCTCTTCACTTAACAACTTTCTTGAACACTTTTCTTTATAAATCAGCAGTTCGTCCTTCCTTTATTATGTGGCGGCGCCATGAATTTTGTTATGCTAAAAATATTTCCTTATTAACATTAACACCATTTTAGTTTCCTCTATATTTACATATATAACCAACATTTTATGAAGTATTTAAATGTAAAATAAAAGCACATTGATATAATTTTAATTAATAATCAGACGAGCAATCCAATCACACAGTAATCATGAACCTGCTGGCTCAGTCACGTATCACCAAATGTATTCATGGTTTTTGTTCCTTCCCAGGGAAGTCATATGGCTTCAGATGCATTAGTGTAAGGATAAATTCTTAAATGCCACGCCTCTCCAGTAGGTAGACAGGCATGGCTTTCAACAGATCATTTTATTTAATAACTGCGACCTGCTATGACTTCTTGGGAAAGATAGTAGCGTGGTTTCCTGTTAGTTTCTTCACGGTTTTGAATTTAGACTTGGCCTTCTCTTAGACTGGAAGACAACTCTGAAACCTCGCTGGACCCTAATATTTATCCATAGTGAGGGGAAGTAGAAGTGAATTCATACCTTATTCAAAACTAGTAATTCAAAGTGATTGCACCACCCGTACATCCCAACCTAAAAACTCGTAATTAATAAGTTTTGATGAAGTGTATTAATACACCGCATTATACGACGACATCAATTGTGATTTTTGCTCTGTTGTTTGCTCGAAATATATCACTGGCAATTTCTTCAGAACAGCCCGCTTAGATCTTATCTACACATACCTAGAAGTAAACAAAGCTGACACTTAATTTGGAAACAGCTTCTCTCAGCTGTCAATTTGAAACGAAATAGGCAGGGTCTTTATATTTTAATGGAACAACCCTATCTGGATTTCGTATCTCCGTCCGACGCCAGGCCTTGGGGAATGTGCGTATCCCAATATAAAATATCTGTTTCCTAGCATTGATAATGGAGAAAATTCCTTTTTTTTACGTTAAGTGAATGCAAACAAGACCAAACAAAAAACGGAAAGACACTAACTGAAGATCGTGTGGTCAGGGAATTATGTCTGCGTACGAATGCAAAGAGCACGTGCCCTCGTATGTGTCCCAATGTTGTCTTGTTAAGTCATGTGTATATTTTACAACGATTACTTCTATGGCACATGGTAAAACGAAACAAACAGTGAGCAAGTAACCGGTGAAAAGGAACTTTTACAATTTCCATGGGGCACTAACCAATAGAATTATATACACACAAAGAGACATAATTCATCATGATATTTGTTTTTTACGGCTTATCAATCTTTTTCAGGTTATTTAAAACCAGAAAATATTTTTAGATTGCAATATTTTTTTTGTTAATAATGACTTACTGATACAAGACCTACTAATTAACCCATAACTGGAGGGAGAACAGGTGGTTTCATACCTTTCCTAAGGGTATTTGCGCGTAAGTGTATATAACAAGCCCGACTGGAATTGGAACTCATTTCTTCGTTATCCGTTACACCACCAGCAAATCCAAAGTTACAACACCTTGTTTTCCAAAGCGGTCACCCATCTAGGTACTGACCAGGCTCGACGTTACTTAACTTTGATGGTCCTACGAGAACCGGTGTTTCAACGTGATATGGCCGTAAGCTTTACCGCGAACAGAAAGATGCCATTACACTCGTATTTAAATATACAAAAGAGTTTTTGATTTATGTATGTATCTACCAAAATAAGATAATTTGAATTATGAATGCATTTACCAAAATAAGTTGGTATTTCACTTCTTTCGCCATTCTTTTTTAAGACTATCTTTCTGATAAGTGCTCATGTAAATATAATGTTATCTCTGCAATAGCTGGAAAATCGTACTTCTCTAATAAAGAAACAATTTATCAAAAGCGAATGATAACAACTGATAAGAACAAATAAAAGAGCAACGTGAAAGAAGAAACGGGAAATTTGAAAACCTGGCAGATGTCAGTTTCTATTTCATTTTCTGAGAATTAAGACAGACCATCCTCTGCAATATGCTGTCAAAGACTAATTGCCCGCTCCTTAGCGCGAACCTAAATCAACAGGTTTAAAAAAAAAACATCTTTATTGGTTGTGATACACCCGTAGCCCAAATAGACGGATGTCCAGTTGAAGTCACTATTATCTAACATTCTATGATCAACAGGACAGATTTTTGTGGAGAGGAAAAAACAAATATATATGTCCTTCTTGAATTAATTGAAGGAAAGAAAACAAATGGCAATCAAGATTGAGGTATTTTTTTACTTGTATTTCTTTCTATTTTATCGTTTTGTATTCCTCAACATTCTTTTTTCTGTGTCGCTTAAGTTAATATAAATATAACAGTTGCAAGTCCGTTGAGTTAGTAAAGCGTATTTCACGGGCGGATCAATGATAACTACTAAGCATGTTGATCTATCAAATACGCGTGCATGCACATATACGCACAAATACGCATACTTAATAGCACAAAAGTGGATGCACATGCAATTTAAATCGGCTATTTTAATGCTATGTCCCTTAAGGCCGTAGTCGATCATGACTCACCGAATATTTCGTTTCTGAATTATTTTGTAATTGCCATGACTTCTTACAAATATAATGGAGTGGTTCCGCTTTGCTTTGTCAACACCGAAGGCTATAGAATTCAATTTACATTGTTATTTTTAACTTGTAGCTGGGAGAAGAAGAATAAGGTTCATGTCTTTCCCAAGGTCATTAGTGAAAAAATGGACGCAACAGACTAGCCCGGAATTTGTTCAAGGTTCGCAAATTCAACCGTTAACCGTTACACTACCTGTGCATAAAAAATGACGAGCTTATTTACATATAGTTAGCACTTTTGTCGCGGATCAGTTACTATTGACTAGGTTCAAATTGTCGTTTTCTGAACCACTGCATCGGATCAATGTTTTATCTATGCATTCTGTCTTACCTGGTTAATATTGCACACTCTGAGAACAGTAAGATATCAGCGTAATGGACTTGACACTTACCTCATTCACGTACGTTCAAATCGGAACAAGATTCATTTTCATTTATTAATTTCATATTGTTTCTTTAGCGTGACAGAATTTATGGGTAGAAAACAAAGAAGCTAAATTAAATTTGGAATATATCAACATAAACTCTTGCAGATACATTCATATAGCTTATGTCGGAAACTCTAAGATGTGGAATTATCTATTATATAACTTGCTATTTTTAGATGAGGTGTTATTATTATATGCTTTGCTATTCGAAGCAGCATGCTCATCTTAGTTGTTTACTACCAACGTTTTGGTTGTTGTACCCTCAGGTCATATTCTGGTGTCTGTCGTTGTCCACGATACCTTTTCGGAAAAAGAGGGCGTGGCTGGAATTTTAAAATAATTAATTTTATATAATTTTCATTAGAGAAACGATTTTTCCTAGAATACCCACAGGATAAATTCAATGGATAGAGAAAAATTGCTGAATCTTTAATAAAAGGGGTGTTTAGAATAAGGATATCCGAAGTGGATTTTTTTCTACATAAAAAAAAACACTCGTCCCGGCCCATCTTTTTGAAGCTCAAAGATATGTGACTTCTCAGCAGTCCCAGACCCAGCGATTGAATCCACAACTGCCAGTGAGTCAGATATGATTTAACAAAAGTTTCAGTCCACTAGTTCAGTGGACTGAAGGATATCTCGTCCTCTGGCAAATGTGAGTTAAGGAAAGCCGTAGAATGAAGCGATCGATATTTTGTGAATACAACAATCAGGATGAGCATGCTTGTACAAATAGCAAAGTATATATATTCATTTATTCCTCCGTAATGATAATAATTGTCAGAACGCTATTTTTTAAGTTTATTATTATTGAGTGAGGATGCCTACAACATGATGTTGAGATACAAATATACGAAAACAATCATGAAACCCAGTTACATAGGGCATACCAAGCACAGGCATCACAGCCAAATATAAACAATATGGTGACAAAAACATCTCATAACCTTGCAGGTAGGACCCATTTAGAAATACTTTCAAGTCGGGTAACCCAGTTCGTTCCAAAGTATCATCCTTGGTTGCATCATTCTTCAAACTTAAAGAAAGCCCAACCCTCTCAACGCCTGTTTCTGATGCCCACCCCAGTGCGCCAGTCCCTAGGGAAAATATCCATTTGATTCAGTTTATGTATCACTGAACGGGATATTTACTAAAACATATCTTAAATTCCCCAAAACAGTACAATCAGAAGTCATGAAAGAAATGCCTGGTTTATCGTCAGGGCTTTAATTATTATTATCATTAAGGAAATCCTTTCTTACATTGTTGATAGAAGATGAAAAGAAGGTAAAAGAAAGTGTGAAACAATTTAACTAGGTGTTGAAAAGTTATTGATCTAACAAAGAAAGGATTACAAATAATTGATGTTTGTCCAGATTTTTGAAGGTTTGTCGAGCGCAGAAAATTTTCAACAACCCCTTTGCCTTGTATATAAGCGTGGATGGATGTATATACACGAGAAAAATCATAAGACAAATGTTTCCGATACTGACTGCAAGGAAGGTAGTCGGGTACACTTTCACAATATGAAAAGGTTCCTGAGTTCAATCCCCAGCCGTGATTTTTGAAAAATGAATGCGATATCTGAAACAGATCCACAAACCAGCTGGTTTTAATTTGGGTAAAGCTTAACCCTATTTGCTATTCATCGGCCCTACAAATCAGGTCAGGCACCGCCCGTTCCCGCAGCCGGCTGAGGTTCCTCGTTCAATCGTGATCCTTTAAGAGATGTCAAAATCTTATCATGTAATATTTAACAGTCAGTTTCAAGAGATTTTCCTTTTTTTTCTCCTTTTCTTTTCTGGGAGACATTAATTTATTTTCCGGGACATTTCATTTACTATCTTCTTTTGTATTGCTTTTTAACTATTTGCCCCGAAGAAGTAAGCGTAATGACATTCTCATATTCCCTTTCGATTGAAGTTTAAAATAACGGAACGCTAAAGTTAAACCTAAGATTGATTGATTGATCAAAGTTCCGTTTAATCTCGCGACGAAAAACTAATCTTTTGATTCATCAGAAGTAGTTAATTTGGCAGTAAATCGAGTTATCACAGTTGGAAATATCTATCTATCTATCTATCTATCTATCTATCTATCTATGCAGAGTATTTGTTCTTTAGTTGTTAAATGTTATAACGTGAAGGAAATTGTAATAGACTGTTCTCGACGATACTGAACACCAACTGTTTCCATTTAACGTATTTGAACTGAAAGTTAAACTCTTCTATCGCCCGGTCCATACTCATGCCCCTTGCTTGAACAAAGTGTTTCCTGTTTAGGATGGGGTTCACGGTTCTTTTCCTTTTCTCAGGCCTTAATAGTGGTGCCGTCATGAATGTTTTGTGATATGCGTGTATGGTGGTAACGTCTGTTCATACTGAGGATACCGGGTTGGCAGTTTTCTGGTTTCTATTCCTGACTGATAATTCGGAGCCCGAACTCTTGCGTAGCGTCTTGAAGCCCATTCAGTGGTATGACGCTTGCGTTGTATCGTAACAGTCCTGGTTCGATTCTCGGCAGTGGATTCTCACTGCTGAGGAGTTCCAAATAGGACGAAACGGCGGTCCAGTGCGTTCTGCATTCTGTACAGGATTCTTTTAAACTCAATGAATACTTAATGTAGCTGCCATAGATCGATGGTTTTGCTGGCTACTGCTAATGAGTTCGATTCTCAGTAGGTGCTCAAATTCTATAGCCGCATGCCAGAGGAAGGAGATCTTAATAAACATCTACGTAAAAGGACGAAATTGCCGCCCAGTACTTTCTGCATTCTCGTGAGGATTCTTCTAGAATTCAATGAGTTACTAGGAATACACTCTAATGAAAATACTTACACATATGTCATGAAAACACCCCCAACGAGTGCACAGGATCGCCTCGTCAGTGATGTTATGACTTGGGGTCATGACAAGTTTCGGGTCTTGCAACATCATACTTGTTCGCCAAAGAGACACTACCGAAACAGTACTATTCCGGCAGGCGATCCTGAAGCAAAAAAATCCGCCAAGCACGCAACAAATAGACACATTAAGTAACTGCCATTTCTGATCTTGAAATTACAAGCGCCCAATCATTAAACAACTTAATGTCACTTCCTTCTTAGCCAAGACGATACAAAAAAGAATAGACAGCATGCTCGTCTTTTTTTCCATCTTAGGTCCACCACGCGGAAAGATCCACATTCTCAATGAACAGTTTGACATAACAGGTAAGTGATGGCAAGAAAAGTTTCCTTTCATATGAAGCGTTGCTTAATAAATAAATAAATAAATAAATAAATAAATATCGAACACATTCGTTGGTCATAGGAATTATGACCAGAAACGTTTCTTGCTTTCTTTTCTCACCACCACCATTTCTTCTTCCCATTCCCCTCCTTTTCCCCTTAGACTCCTCCCCTTTCCCTTCCCGAATAGGAAAAAAACAGTTAGGAACATCAATAAACACACACACACACACACACACACACACACACACACACACACACATATATATATATATATATATATATATATATATATATATATATATATATATATATAAGGGAAAAAGGTGTGCTTAATATCAGAACGTTTATTGAGAAGAGATGATTTTCTTCTTTTCCTCCCACTTCCTTAATCTGTCAGTGTTCTATATAGACAGCCTGCTAAATTTAAAAGTGGCAGTCACCATGTACTTTTGATTCCCTACCCCTCTCTCTCTCTCTCTCTCTCTCTCTCTCTCTCTCTATATATATATATATATATATATATATATATATATATATATATATATATAGGAATGCATTCAATCCGAGAAAAATTTAATATAATTCATGTTTATAAGTTATTTTTTCTGGATACACATGTTTAAGTAAATGCTCTAGTTTTTAATTAAATTTTAAATTTTTAATTTTAATTTACCGGCTTAACTGTTCGAGAAATTTCGTAGAAAATATGCGTTCTCCAGCAAAAAACGAACCCATATACGTGAGCATTGGCCCAGTCTTTAGAGCGTTGACTTTCCGATAATGAGATCCGGTTTCGATTTATGAAGGAGTTAACTTTTTGGTGTTATCAGCCTGAGGAGGAAATTGCCTGAAAACCCTGCTACAGGCTGATTCAATTCTTGTCGATGAAATTGAGCTGATGAGAAGCCGATGGCTATGCTAGCATGAAGTCACACGTAATCGTGACCGAGGTTTTTAGCGTACTGGCCTTGTTCACACTGTTGTTCGTGAGGGTTCTGAATAAACACAAATATCCGTGAGCAGGTGTCTGCAACAGGGATCGGCTAGCCGGCCTAGTGGATGAATGTGCTTGTAAACGAGTAGCCGGTCATTATATATATAGTTCTAACTTTAGAGACATATATATGAGGAATGCTCACGTATATTCAACAGATATATTTTCCCTTATAAATCAGTGACTCTTAAAACCTTATAAGATGAGGAACGAATGAATAAATAAATCCTTCCCACTCTCTTATACAAATGGATTTCGAATCACACGTGCCAAACGACACATTTTGTCTATTTTTCTACTTTATCACCTCAGTCTCTCGCTAATACAAAGGTTCATTGCTACCGAAGAATTCCTATTCCATCTTGACTCCAATCTAAATGTGCTTTGCGCACTTTCACGGTTCAGCCAAATCACTCACGTCACGACCAATTTATTGGCAGCCATTGGCAGATGCTGGCCAAACGATTCATCGTCTAAGAATTTTGACACTTACGACAGATAAACACAAACACGCACTCACAGACACATAAAACACAGGCAACCAAGCGCATAGATATAGAAGTTCTTCTAATGACACACATATAGACATGATATACATACGGATGCCACTGTCTTAAATGAATAAGATACGGATATGTATGCACACACACACGCACACACACACACACACACACATACATACATACATACATACTTTCCTCGGGTTTGGGTCTGACTTTTATCAATGTTGAAAATAGACATGCAATGGAACATGAAGAGATTTGGAAGGATTTTGAAGAGATTTGGTAGACTTTTATAACAAACTCTAATAAGCATAATTAGTACTTGTTGCAGTTTAATGTTTAATATACTGATCTCGCAAGTTATAGATCTGAAATAATACTGGGCTTAATATGATCGAATATTATTACTGTTAGAGGGAAAGAAAGACAAGGGAAAGCAACGTTTGACATAACAGGGTTTGGGAGAAGTAGCAAAAGGACAAAACATATTGACAAATACAAGGGTTAGGAGGAAGTGAAGAGCCATTATCACCTGTGTTCTGAAGTGACACGACACAAAAGAAGTAAATTAAAATTTCCAAACTCCATTGAAAATTAATCAAGATATTGCCCAGATAAAGGTATTCATGACATCCACGATTTTATCTAATTTTATCGTTACAACTAAACTTATTTAGTATTGGGTTATTTGAATGCGTTACATTCTCTTATAAATACATACCCTCGGGAAAAGTATGGATCCATCTGTTCATCTCCGCTATGTGTAGAGCAGACTGGGCTTTTTAGCCTTTGGTTGACAACCAGTCTAAGAGAAGGACAACGTTGTATTCGAAACCTGAATAGGGTCGTTTGGACACAATATGGCACACTATGTGCAGAAATTTTGTAGTTTCGGTTCACCGAAAAAGTATGGTTGCTTCTGCATACATTTTCACCACAATAATCGAATAATGTGCGAAGGTAATAATTTTTCTTTCTCGCATACCACCCAATATATATATATATAATAGCTGGCCACTCGTATTCGAGGATATCTGGCTACTAGGGCGGCTAGCCAATCCCTATTGCAGACTCTCGCTCAGGCACATTTGTGTTTGTTCAACATCCACAGAGCCTTTTACAGTTTCTGAGAGAGTGTGTTATCTAGAATGATCAACTATATGACCAGCACACTCAAACCCTCGGTCACGATGACTTGTGACTTCGTGCTAGCACAGCTATTGACGGCTCCAATATCACTCACAAATCGTGGTATGGTTTTCAGGCACTTTACAAAGGTGCCGCTCGCTGGGATCGTCCCCACTCCAAACCGATAACTAACAAATCGACCATGGTGAGATTCGAACCTGGGTCTGATGGTCAGAAAGCGAACGTTCTAACCACTATATATATATATATATATATATATATATATATATATATATATATATAATGCTTTTAATTTAATTATATAATTAAATTTAAAGTTTTAGCTTCCATTTTGAAACATGGTTATTACTTTGTAGCGAAAAACATACTTTCAATCAGTTAATTTAGTAATATATATATATATAATATATATAATATATATATATATATATATATATATATATATATATATATATATATATATATATATATATATATATATGAAAATATATAGACAATAGGAAAGAACTCGTTAGGTAAATAATCCAAAAGTTCTTTAGTATTTTTGTTATTATTTTAAAAAAATTAGTGCTCGATACAAAAGTAGAACATAAATATAATTATTTATTTAAAAATATGATTCCAACACGCTACATATGTTTGACATATATGCCTACATGAAAAACTACACATTATTAAGTTTCTAAATAATAAAAATCTATTAAACAATAGACATGAGTTAACGGTTTTTTGCCGACACCATCAAATTTTTGCATTGAATAATTAGCATAAAAACAAACAAACAATAAAATAATTTTTAAGTTCCATAGTCCTACTAAATAGTCTAAATGCCCTACAAAAAAAGATAACTTTATGAAGTCGTCAAAAAACAAATGTTAGCGATTTACGACAGTTGTTATACACACAAAACCCTTTCAGATAATTATAAAAAATAAAATAAAAAAATAAATAAATCTCCATAGACACTTAACTAGACTGGACGATGTCATCTTCCGCTTTAACCGCTTTAACCCCAACCATACCCTGATTGACATCTGTGAATGTAACTGAGATATTGATACAAATTATTAACACCTTACGCCCCTTTGCTTTAAACAATTGCTCTAGCCGTTACATTTTGATTTCAATAATGAATATACTTATAAAACGCGTAAATTTCAGAAATAAGTTATTCCAAAAAAATTTCGCTTGAAGATGGAACAGAGCTTAGTACTTTAATTCAATTTAATTCAAATAATTATATTGAAGTTTTCGGCTTCTGTTTTGAAACATGAGAACTCTTATGTAGCGTGTTGGAATCATATTTTTAAATAAATAATTTTATATATATATAATATATATATATATATATATATATATATATATGGATAGACATGATAAATGATTATACGATTCAAATTACTCTGTGTGTGTATATATATATATATATATTCATTCAGATTGGAACAATCCTTCACAATTCACAATAGTTGGTCTCATTGTGAGGAGGGAATTTATATATATAACAACAATTGTTTGTTCGACACACTTAATCATCACTCCATGATCAGCGCTCAAACATTCTGGAGACTATAAAGGGGTGCGTAAAAGATCCCTGATCATGATGCCCTAACAACAACAACAAACAAAAAAATCTGATATTTGGTCGAATTTTAGGAATTGAGTTGGGCCGTGAACTTTTAAGCACCATTTATATATTCTTGTCGCTTGTGGATGTGTTTGGTAGAATAGCATATTCATTTTTATTGTTTTATGCTTTTGGACGGGATATGTGTGAAATTTTCGCACTAGATATTTCATTTCGACTGTGATTCTTTAGGTTGTCAAGTTTCCAAAAGATTTAAAATCATAATTTATACAATAGTGATCATGTCTCTATGTACCCATTTACTAATAATGATCCAGAAAATGAAAAACTACAGTCTTTAATGTCTTTTACGTACTATTTCCTGCAATTTAAGTCTACAGTGGCCTATGAAAAGTTTTTATCCAGGAGAAATAAACTACATCCAATTTTAGAATTTAATTACGTAATCCCTAATCAACATAAATAAACAGTATTTGGCCTCGTTTTGCTAGTTTCAGTGCTAATATTCGATTTTCATGGACTTGATCAAGTTATCAATAACGTCTGATCCATATTTTGCAATTCCTTTAACAATGCTTCCTCAAGGGTTGCCACTTACGTGATTTTGGTTGCAGGTGAAGGTGCTCCCAAACGTGCTCTATTGGATTATATCAGGACTTTAGGCTACCTATGGCAGTGACTTGATTCCTTGCGATTCCTTCTAGGCCTTTGCTACTTTACTCGCATGACGTGGCACTCCATCTTCTTGATAAAGGTAGATATTCTTGTCAATCTGATTGGTTTCAAATAGTGGGAGTAGCTATTTCTCTAATATTTGACAGTATTTTAGACCATTAAACAACTCATCAACAAGAATCAGCTCAAATTTCCATCCAAACCAGACAGCGCACCCACAATTACTCCAATCCCTCCATGCTTCACAGTTGCCTGCAGACATTCAGTGTTCCAAGTCTCATTCTGATTTCTCGAAACATAAACATGTCTTGAATTCGAATACTGGCAATATTTACTTTCAACTGTCCAAATTACAGACTGCCAAAATTCATAATCTTTGCATTCGAATTGTCTCACCTAGTTCATACGCATGTTCATGTTAACCTCTGAAATCAAGGGCTTCTTTCTTGCAACACATCTTTGATAGCTTAGTTCTTTCAGAGTCATTCTCACCGCATATGGCGACATTTCCATGCTGTTGGCGACATCAATGACGCTCTGAAGACGGTTTATGATGACTTCCCTCTTCAGCGCCCTTTTCGTTCACTCAGACACGATGCTTGGTCTTCCTGAACGTTGTTCCACACGACAATGGCCTTCTTCATTATGTTTCTTGACAATATTATTAATCGTTTGATGATTAAACTGGAAAGACCTAGCAATTTCTCTATTTGACTTGCCACACTGATACCATCGTATTATTTGACCTCGTTGAAATTCACCAATTTTCTTACTTCCGCGAACTTTAATTGCAAAATATTAGTCAACTATCATTCATAGATTAGAGTAGCTTGATACTAACACGGTATTGTCTGAAAACAAAGAAAATATGTTATTACACAAGCCAAAATTGCTGTAATTAAGGGTGGCTAAAAACCTTATCATAGCCCACTGTACAGCTAAATTTATTTGGTAAATGTATGTTCAATACTTACATACATACATACACATACACACACACATATATATATATATATATACACAAGCTTACATACATACATACATACATACATACATATCGCACCAACATTGCAGGATTTTTTTATATATATATATATATATATATATATATATATATATATATATATATATATATATATATATATATATCCAACTATGTTGATGCGACCAACAGACAACTTGCCAAAACACCTAAAACCTTAGGCAAGAAAAAGTCTCGAACAAGGAAAGAAAAAGAAAGAAAAAAGATCAAAAGGCAAACATCTACCTACGCAGTAAATTAAATAAATTAAACAGTACACGCGTGCATGCACATGCGTGTATGTGTGTGTACGTGTATGTATATGTATGTGTATATATGTCTTTAATATGTTTTTATATGTTTTTATGTAATATATATTATATGTTTTTAATTACATATCATCTATATTAGTCTACAATGTATCGTTAAAAATGATGTAAATATATATATATATATATATATATATATATATATATATATATATATATTCATGCATGTATGCATGTATATTGGTATGAAAGAGAGCTATAAATTATTCACACAACCCTGAAATTCTTGGCGAGTTTGGTCACTTGGTTAGATTTTGGAAATAGACAGAGGCGAGAACATGTTAACACTCCCGATGTACATATATATATATATATATATATATATATATATATATATATATATATATATATATATATATATATAAATATAAAATTTTTTCTGTTTATACTTCATTTTAATAGATACAATTTATTTAAGTAAATGCTCTGTTTTTTAGATAAACATTATTAATTACATTTAACGAGAAATTTCGTAGTATCGGACCTGTAACTCCAGTGGGAACCATAATTTGATCTGATGTGCTGTTAACTATTCAGCCACAAAGAAACGTCTGGTTAGCAAAGTTCAAAATACTGTTTAGAAACAACAAATCTTTGACGATCTTTTCTCGGACTTTGCTAAAATATTTTAAGAACACACATATTAGTACATGCATGTGTGTATGTTTTAATCACATGCCATATCTTCTATACTATTCTACACGTTTCCTCAAAAAATATGGAATATTTAAGTAATCCCCGGTTAATTTTATCTTTCACATTTTTCCAGTCTCTCTCTTTAATCCATCCTGTCTGTGTATTTCAACCTCAACTCCTTCATCTTTTGCACCGAAAATAAATTGATTTTGAATGTATTTTCAACCTACCCTCTTATTACAAGCTACCTTAGTAAAAGTAATTCTAATTGTTATATAATTAAAAGTAATCATATCCAAAGAAAAGTGTCATGAAACAAAGAAAAAAAAAACTATTAGCAGCCTGATATCCCTTACTTACAACTGAAGTATACAGTTGTTATTGTCATACAGGGCATGTTCGTATATTAGTAATACTAATGGTAATATTAATCGTTTCCATGCAAGGAAACATTTGGCATGCATTTTATGAATTGTTTCTGTTAAAACACTTTTTTTAAAAGATGAAAGCAGGTTTCTCAAGTTCAGTAGCTGTTATCACACTTTTCTGTAATGATTGGGGTTTTCTTCCTAACCTTATATCTGAAGCAGTGCGGAATGTTAAACTATTATGTCATTATTTTCTTTTTGAGTTACCCGTGCTATCATTTTTTAGTTGTTGCTACTGTTGGTAGTCCTCAAGTGATGCGATTTCTGTTCTTTGATACAGTTCTTTGTGATTTTGTGCCACTAGTTCACAATTTTCAAAGACGGGTGATCGTTGCCAAGACCCTCAGGCTTTATTCGCTCAAAGCCTTTTTTCACCATTGTTTTTAGGAAGTGGTTGTATACAGCTGACAGTTTAGATATTTCCTATCAAATTTGGCGTCATGCCTGACATCCATTTGAAAATCTTGATCATATCTTGAGTTTTTAGGTTGATCTTTTAATTTTGTAGCAATCTGCGGTGTTGGGCAAAACTACTGGCACAGCCTATTCTATGTTCTATTTCTTTTTCACTTCTACTTAATTTGATATCATTGATCAATACGCCGAGGTATCTGAAGTGTTTGGTGTTTACTGATTCCACATCCTGAATTTTTATGATGAAGGTGCCATCACTGCTTTCATTCTAATTCCAGATCACAGTTTCTGTTTTGGAAAGGTTTATCTTGAGTCCACTTTCTTGGAAGACTTGATGATACTGGATGCTTAGGATGCTGATTTTCTTATCCCGACTACGAACAGCTATGTCATAAGCATAACCCCATCATCTTCAGTACATTGGCCTCGGGAGAGAAAGCAGGATCGCTGTGTTCTATGGGTAGACTCGTTTGAGATGCGGTACGTAGTGCTTAAATGGTCAATGCTCATCTCATCACATCTGTAATCTAAATGTGCAGGGCATAGTCTAGGAAACGATTAAATAGACTGTGGCTCTCATGTCCTTCTTGTCATACACCTGATGAGGTCGGAATCGAGTAATACTAACATAAAAACAGAATATGTCACCACTAAGAAGGAAATATCAATTTTCGTGACCGATAAATAAATAAAGTCATTATGTTTTATATAATATTTCGGCAGAACATAAAACTGTTTAGCCCACATCTTCGCATGGCTTGCAGACTTATCCACAACTCTTACCAATATTTCGAAAATGCATGCACACCCACACACATTCAAAGGGAGTGGAAGGAAGAGTAAAGAATTGGAGAGAGGCAGAGAGATAGAGGTTAAAATGAAAGATGAAAGAATCATCCTTTTTTGACACATTGCTTTCATTTTTTTTCGCTTCATCTCTTTCTTTATTTTATTTTTATTTTAATACATTTTAACATTCTTCTTTCTTTTCCTCAACCCTCTTTTCTTTCTTTCATATTTGTTTCCCTCTCTTCTCCTCTTGTTCCTCAACCCTCTTTTCTTTCTTTCATATTTGTTTTCTCCTCCTCTTGTTCCTCTTTTCCTTTCATATTTGTTTGTTCCTCAACCCTCTTTTCTTTCTTTTCATATTTGTTTCCCTCTCTTCTCCTCTTGTTCCTCAACCCTCTTTTCTTTCTTTCATATTTGTTTCCCTCTCTTCTCCTCTTGTTCCTCAACCCTCTTTTCTTTCTTTCATATTTGTTTCCCTCTCTTCTCCTCTTGTTCCTCAACCCTCTTTTCTTTCTTTCATATTTGTTTCCCTCTCTTCTCCTCTTGTTTGTCTACTACCTTCTCTCGTTTCTTATCGTTTCTCCTCCGATTACCTCTTTTTCGTTTCAACTCCTTCATATCCGTATTGCTCTGGCTACATCTTAAAATCCGCTACATCTGGAGAGAACCGGTTTAAACCGGCTGGTTCTGTTTTCTCAAACTAGCTTAACTAATAGCATGTAGTCATGGTGAGTGAGACAGGAAAGATACCTACAAGCACTGGACTAGGTACACAGTAAGGTAGAGACAATTAAGATGCAAATCCAAATCTATAAAATAAAAGTTCTTGATGCTTACGGGTTTATGAAAAGGTGGAATGATAATGGGTTTCTCTTCTGAAGGAACGAATTGACGTTCTTGCTTTGTTTTTAAGCACACGAATATTTAGAAAATATTTGTTTCTCAGACTTTTTAACGACCGTCCAAAGACAATCCGTGAGGTACAATATAAAATGAAAGAAATATTAGTAAAAAAGGAATGTTTTTCTCTTTTTAAATTCTGTTTTTTTTGCAATGCAATTTGAAAAAAATTATTTATAATTAGTCGAAGGATTTTTCCCTATTATATTTTAAATCCGATATATGAGATATTTATTCACAGTTAATAGACTTACAAATCTATCTATCTATCTATCTATCTATCTATCTATCTATCTATCTATCTAATGAGTATATTTGTAATGTCATCACAAACACACACAAAATAATAATATTGATAAATGTTAGTTGTTTACCACGATTAGAGTTGGAGAGGGTTTGTAGATGACTATTTGTGGAAATTTTATTCATTGAGTATGCCTAAATTCCTATTTAAACCTAGAATGTGCGAATTTATAACTCATATGCATAATGTTTCACTCCCATTATTTATTTGCAAAATTTAAATATGAAAATAATACCATTGCATAGATTTTTAAAATCTGTTCTTATAGAAATATTTAAACAGAAATGGCTATTCTTCTCTTTAAACTTGCCGATAAAATTGTACTGGAAGGGTTATATTTGTTTTTATTCATTTATTAGTTGAATAAATAATACAAATCTAACCTATCAGGTACCAGATCACTTCTTATGAAAAGCTTTTTCTCTTTATATACCAATATATGCGATTGTTTCAATGCCCAATATTGTTCTTTTTGCGAAGAAAAAGAAGATAGTAGCATAATTCCTTTGAATCCTGAAAGAAAAAATATTATACTAAACAATCTTTAGAATGCTAAGAGTATTTGTAATTGGGATGCTAAAACATATAAAATTTTCAAACTTCATATTCCAAAAGCGTTGAGTTTACTTAACGATACGTTAACTGATATATTTCAAGAAATGATACGCTTTAGTTTTATTTCAAATACAGTAGAAGTCCTCATATCCGAACTTCTCAATGTTGCCATTTAGGTTTTGCAGGAATATGCTACATTCTAATATATTTTCTTTTCTTTGCGGATAATTATTGGTAACTTGAAATTTCTCAACTCATAATGTCCGGCAAAGAAGAAACTTCAACAGGAAGAAAAAGGAAAAGAAATTTTTTCATGCTACTTCAGAAATTAGAAATTATTGAAAAACTGGAAGAAGCTCTTAATTTGCTGAATTTGCAAATTAACAAAGATTGCAGAATCTGAACGAAATTGTAAAACTTACGCTTGATGATGATCTACTGAATATTCTCACTTTGGATGACTTAAAAGAATGGATAAATGAGATCACTAATGAATTACAAAAGAATTCAACAGTAGGATCGCTTCAAAAGGATTTGGATTGCCAAAAATAGAGGGAGAATCAAATTCTTCCAATAATGGCGAAAATAAGAACGATGATGAAGAAAACTGGGACTCAGTAGAGTAAGCTATTGATGAGGTCATCAAATTCATGGAGAAAAAAAAATCTTTGTTCAGTCGTACAGAATGTACACTGTGCACGTAATTTGCAGAAATGCTTTACTTTAAAAAAGCTAGAACTGAAAAGTAAGCGAAATGAAAAAAGAAATAAGAAAGACAATTGAAAATAAAACTTATTGAACATTAAGCATTGAAAAGTAATATTTACTTTCGTGAGACACTTAATTATTCATATATTGCGATAATTCTTGTGTTTTGCTAAGTTTTATTACACATGCTACATTATATCCGAACCCATCCTCATATCCGAACTTCAGAGTAGTTCGGATATGAGGACTTTTAATGTATATCTACGTTCTTTCTGCTTGTGAAGAAAAAAAATCGTTCTTCCCAAAATCTAAAAAGGACTTGCGTTAAATGAACTTTTGTAAGAGAGAATAGCTATTTGCGCATTAACGAAGGAGGTTTACACATATCGCTCTCATTATAATGCAAGATTTCATACGAGTTTCATGAAATTGAGACAGCAGTGAAACCATTCTTTTACACTATTATTCAAAATGCATAATACGAATATATATATATATATATATATATATATATATATATATATATATATATATATGTGTGTGTGTGTGTGTGTGTGTGTGTGTGTGTGTGTATACATATCTATTGGTTTAACCTCTAATGCCTTAACCTCTCGGCCATCACAGACATTTCACACATACGCATGCACGCATACAGAAACGTAAGTGCGCTCGAATAGATACTTAAATAAATATTTTAATCGCCATGTCTCTTCAGGACATAGTCGATCATGGCTCTCTACAGATTCTTTTTCATTACTATATGTGGATTGGCATCACATCTTGGGAAAAATAGTAGAGTGGTTTCTCGTTGCCTTTTCCACCGTTCTAGGTAGTTTTTCTCCTCTACTTATGTCACTTAAGGCTAGAGAGTCTAATCTATCCTAATATACTTATAATAATATAAAAATAAGGAAAAAAAATTATGAAATATGAATAAATTTTGCTGGTAATAAATATGAATCAGAATTTATTTTTGTACTACCAGAAATTCACCTAAAACATTTGTAATGTATGTAGAAATAGAATAAAATGCACATTTGAATGATTTCTTTTCACCATAAATGAAACACATTTAGAAAAGCCTTAATGAATTTACTTTGATAAATTTCAAGCTCCAAATATCAGGAATTTACATCTCAATTGAGTAAGCAGAAATGGCGAGGCCAGTTCACGGTGCATTCATTAAAACAGGAACAATGTGTAACAATATAGCATACTGGTTTCTTAAAGGGCAACGAGTAGGAATGTAAGACTATATCTGAACCGATACACTCAAATGCATGCAGCAATTATGTTGGGCATGATATAATATTATTGAGGTAATCACCACAAATATTTTATATTTAATAAATACTGTAGAACATTAGGCAAGTTACGCTCAAGAATAACACCGAACTTGTATGTCGAATTGGTCTATTTATTGCCAAAACAAATGCAGGTCTAGGAAGCAATTTAAGAGCTCATAAAAGAACCATGAAACAGTTAATTTAAGAAAGTGGTCATGCTTGAGATTGAGTAGACAGTCATCACTCACAAACACGCAAACACAGGCACAAACACACACACGCATATATTTATATATGCATTGCGTGTTGACAAAAAGACAAAACATTTAAACAAGTTCATGACTATTACGATATCACACCCGCACGTGAACTCTCATATATCACGATCAAGATCAGGAGTCCCGAAACTCATTAGGTAGGTAGGGGCATTATTAAATATGTTTGCTATTTTCTTGCACAATTGATCCTACTCAGTATCAGTAGACGGAGCCCAAACCAGGCTGGTTTGAATTAACAGTTTTCCTTCTCATACACCGTTTGCCACCCAAAGCCATAGGACCCAGTCTGTCCTGCCATTTGCCTATAGCTGGGGGAGAATAGATGGATTCGTACCTTTACCAAAGATATTAGCATGTAAGTGACTGTAATGATTTCGACTTGAATTCGGACTCGGTCTGCGATTCCTCAATACTAGACGTAATCCTCAGTGCCTCCATGACTATATATATATATATATATATATATATATATATATATATATATATATATATATGTATGTGTGTGTGTGTGTGTGCGTGCGGTTCGAGAAAATAAGGAATCAGTTTCCGACCTAAATTTACTCCTACTAGTCTGTACACCTGAAAGTCGTAATAAAGAATCTGTGCTTTTCGTTAGGGTTCAAACCCGCGTCCCCGACTATAAGGGAAATGCATACGCTGGTAGATCTAAATTTACACTATTTTAAAAACAGAGATGTTTACTCATATACGTGTAGCTACTAAATACATATGTATATAATATGACAAAAATATTTTAATCTATGCTATATTTATGGGTAAAAATGTTCATTAGAAGAGATGGAGTGTATATAAATATAAAAGGTCACTGAGGTCAACACCAAGCGTCGACAGTCTGTTTCATGCTTCAACACAATCTTCAGACCACCTCATTCCTTTTTAAACCTATCTTTTAAGCCTATTAAACGTTCTTTTAAACCTATTAAATATGTTTGATATTTTATTGCACAATTGATCCTACTCAGTATCTATCTATCTATCTACTTCTTTGTATCGTGGATAAAAGTAATTTCAAATATAACTGCACAAAAAATATTCCTCAATGTATTGTTTTTTACACAATAAATGAAAAAAACGATAATTTAAATTATTTGGTGAACGAAAATTAGCTATTACTGAAAAATATTATGATGCGCAACATAAAACAAATTCATTTGAAAACATAAGTTCTTCTTCCACTGGGTGCCAATATGTAAAGGTAGCTTGCGATACAACTTTAGAGAACCCAAAATAGTTTTGAATGTTTCAAAGTATTGAAATATCAGATTACGTTAAGTGATGTTGAGAGAATGTCATTGTGCATTGCTAATGGACATAGCGAAATCAAACTTATCTGGCAATTGAAGTCGCCTGTCTGTTATAATTATTGGGATCCAGCGAATGAACATTTTCTCCTTTTTGCCTGTCCTAGTTCGGAGTTGCTTCAACAATATATGGGATAAGATGTTTGACATCTAGTCGCGACTGCATAAGTCTCTGGAGAAACGTGATTTATGAGAAGCATGATGTGCGTCCTAAATTTTAGTTGAACACTGTGGAAAATATCACCAAGTTGCTCACGAGAGATGAGGAACTCAGCTGTTTTCTTAAGAGTTTCAGATGTGCCCGAATGTTTGTCAATTGATTTGTAAAGTTGAAATTCCCAAGGTAGCTGTTTTAACAGATTTCAGTTTATTTTTTTTTTTCACTGCACACAGGGCCACAGTTAAAAACCTCCTTAAACATGCTAATTTCAATTTTTACCTGAAAATGATTTTAGGGTCGAGTATTTTGTACGAAGTTGTGAATAAAATGTGAAAGTCGAAAGTATGAACTTCGGACCGTTTATACACAAATTCGGGCGCAATACGCAATACTCCACACCTTATCCAGAAATTGGAAAAAATATAATAAAAAATTAAATTGACAAACCTTGTCGGTTCTTTTAAATTAAACTTGGTTGTATATATATATGTATAATGGTGCGAACGTTCGCTTTTAAGTTCACGTTTCGGTTAGCAAGGTCGATTTTACTATTTTTAAAAATCGACCTTGCTAACCGAAACGCTCCTCTGTGGTGAAATCGATAAAAGCACGTCAGGCTATATGACGGTTCGATTCCTGTCGGAGGACGCATATTTTCTATGACAATTTCTCGGACATTCAGGCCGGTAAAGGTTGTTAATACTGTTTATTATAAACAGAGCATTTACTTAAATATAAGAATGTATGAACATAAAATGTCTTAAAATAATTGTCGTACTTTGTCCATTTCATAATATATATATATATATATATATTGAGGAATAATTAGAAAACAACTAAAAATCTAAAGTACAAATATAAGTGTGTAGAAAAAAGTCAAATAAAATGTATTTACTTGTCTACATTTATATTTCTATATTTATACATGTAGATATATAAAGAAAGAAGTAATATTTTTAAATGCACATGATGTTTGTATTTATAGATAAGCGCGAGCACTCATACGCAAACGTCACACACACACACACATATATATATATATATATATATATATATATATATATATATATATTATATATATATATATAGTTTATATTTTGCTAATTCACGCTTTTTTAATCATGCCCGTATACGTATATTTCGTCAACAATTTTGTGCCCTTTTTTATGTGCTCGTTCTCACACACACACACACACACACACACACACACATATATATATATATATATATATATATTAGCGAGGCCGTTAAAAATATTTTTTCATTTTCCTGTTTTTCTTTTCAGAGGCACACGCCGTCATTCACAAGCAATGTAAAGAACGCAAACGCCACTCTCGTGACGTGTCGACCATATTGTGAGGCACTAGTTAAAGAGGAAGACGTAGGGTGCGTCAAACGAAAGGTGTTCTCCTGACATTAGAACGTGATGTACAATTCGATGTCTCCTGTTACAAACTTATAGCTGCTATTTGTTTGTTTGTTTTTTTTTTTTTTTTTTGTTTTTTTTTTTGTAAATTTGACCTTTAACCCTTGGCTGGCTGTCTTTCTTTCTTTCTTTCTTTCTTTCTTTCTTTCTTTCTTTCTTTCTTTTTATTGGCATCAAACTTTCGAATCCTCTTTTTCTCATTGCAGCATTACTTACCCCATTCCATTTCCGCGGTTCTTTTTCTACATTTCTTATCTCTCAGATCATTTACGTCGAAGTAGTGTGGCGTAGGTCGGTTAGGGATTAAAAAGATGCGTATAGGTGGAGTTTGGTGCGTGATAAGAAGAAGAAGAAGGAGGAACAAGGAAGAAACGCAACAGAATTACTCAAGACAGTGACGATGATAATGAAGACGATGATGATGCAGTAACACTAAACATCACTATCGGTACCATCTACATCATTAACTATAAAATCTTTCTATCATCACAAGTGAATTGACTGTCTGACTTACAATAACATAGTTAAAAGCTAATTCCAAAGAATGCATTTTTATTAATTGTGTTCTCTTCTACTGTTGTTCGCGAGGAGTGCCTCAACCCAAAATCTTTTTTTTTCTTTCTAATTATAAGGAGATACTAAAATTTCTCGGCTTGTGCAAAAAACAAGACAAAAACAAAACCTAATATTTAGTTATTTGGTCAGATTTCAGGAAGTGAGTTGGTTTGAAAACTTTTCAGTATCCTAACGAATATACTGAAATAATGAAAAGTTCTAGTTTTACTTTTTTGCGCAGACTCACGTCACCATAATATTAAACAAAATTGATTGATATAAACGAATTTTGAAAGTTAAAATGCTGAAAAATATTGCTAATTTAAAATAAATATAAGATTTTAGTGTTTAAAACATTAATCCGCCTCTCATTTTTAACTAAATCAAGATTTTAATGTTTAAAAATTTATCACACCTTACAATCTGAAACTTAATCATGGATTTTAGCATTAAAAATATTCACCTCTCATCGTATTTTTTATACTAAATCATGGATTTTAGTTTTATAAAAACTAACTAGGCTTTCACCTACACACGAAAATAAGGTTTTTGGTACTTAAATATTATCCCGCCTCGTATTTTTCATACTAAAAACTTACCCGCCTCCCATTTTTATTATAAAATAAAGTTTTTTGTTACTTAAAAATTTACCTCGGCTCGAATTTTTCATACTAAAACATGGGTTGGGTTTTAGTTGGAAAAAAAAACTACATACATCACATTTTCATACTAAAATAAACTAATATTTTAACACTAAAAACATTGATTTAGCTTAAAATATCAGTATTTTAACTGTCCGAATTTAAAATCTCCCTTTTTCATTCGAGTTCTCCTAGTTTTTGCCACTGGGCAATTATTGTGAATGCATTGAATTATTTTAGATGACAAGCCTATTTAAGTCAGCCTTATACTTTTAGAATTAACGATTCATAATAAATGAAATATCAATATAAGGAAAATTTATGTGGAAGAAAAATAAAAATCAATCTATCTATCTATCTAGTTTATGCCAATTTGGGCCGTGAAAAAAATCCTTTAATGAAAATATTAAAGAAGCACAAATTTTGCAAGGATATTAATGGCATGTATCTGAACGCCCACTCAAGTGGAAGGTGATATAAGGTTGAGTTTAAAGTTGGATGGGAGTCCATGAATACATGGATTAGGGACAAAGATTGCTCAAAACCCCTAGGTGTTTTCGCTTTAGGAGAAACCTCAGCTCCCTCCCGAGGGTGAGATATTAAGCACATTACATCAAATGAATGACAAGCAAGGGTATGAGCAAATTCTGATTTAATAGTAATATGTATTTCTAACTACAGTAAACGTTATTTTTAGTTGGTAAAGGCTTTTGATATGGTATCTTTGATTTTTATTTTGTTAAATAATGAAATTAATAAAAACCGGGTTAGAACAAGAAATCCCACTAAAGAAAGAATGTGTCTCCAGACATGAATCGAAACTGCATCCTTTTTCTCACCGGGGAAACGGCTTCTATAGCCGAATTGTGCCGCTAACCGCTTGGCCAGTGGACAGAACCGCGATAGTGCAAGGTTTGAATTATCTATTTAACGAATGCACATCACTCATTGGGGACTTATATGAATATATATCTGCTAGCTTATTTTTCGCCGATGAATCGTAAAATATATATATATATATATATATATATATATATATATATATATATATATATGTGTGTGTGTGTGTGTGTGTGTGTGTGTGTGTATTGTGTCTAATGGTTTTCTCCGTCACCAGTATAGTCCACTATATTTAGATGAACTCTTCTGTTGACGTAGTAGATTATAATTGTTTTATGCATAATATTAATTTTGATATTTTCTAATATAACATTAATTTAAATAAATATAATTTTTAAGGAAACATGTTCACATCTTCGAATATATTAAATATTCGTCTCATTTCTAATGATATTTTTCATTTAAAGCATGGGGACAAGACAGAAGATGGATTATCTTTAACCTTGATAGCAGTTTAATATTCAGTATTTCGTATTGGACATGAAGAAGAAAATGTATAGCACTATAAAGTCTTTATGTATTATATAATACAATGCAAATTCGGAATTACTTAAATATGCCGTAATTCTCTGACTGTAAGTATATACTAGTATATATACACTACAGTTCAAAAGTTTAAGGCCACACCTGGTAATTTTTTTTAAATTGGTCCCAAAGGTAGTTGTTTGGGATTTAAATAAGAGAAAGTTATACATGGTTAAAAAAAGTGGGACATAATTTTTTATTAGAAATTTTATTAAGACAAAAAGAAGAAAAGGATTTTATGAGTAAATTTTGCTACCTCCCTTTAGCCTTGATTATAGCAGAACAAATTTTTGACATTCGTTGCAAGAGTTTCTCAAAGTATAAATTTGATAATTGATTCCATTCTTTTTAATGAATCTAAGAGCTTTTTTTCATTTTTTTTCACTCTTCTGTCAAGTTTATACAATTCTGGAGGTGGCTTCAAACTTTTGAACTGTAGTATATATATATATATGTGTGTGTGTGTGTGTATGTATGTATGTATGTATGTATGCATGTATGTATGTGTGTGTGTGTGTGTGTGTGTGTGTGTGTGTGTGTGTGTGTGTGTGTGTGCTGAGCTGATTGTTCTAAGGAGCGGAATTAGAGCATTTGCTAATATGTGGGGCGGGCTGTTTATCCCTGACACTATGAGGCGCATTAATGAATATTGTAGATTGTATTTATCGGATGAAAAGATATGTAGAAATATTAACGGATGAAGAAGCAAATGAAAAAAAAATTGTTTGGGCGGGACGAGAAACTTATTGAGAAACACAGAGACTTTTTAAAAATATAAAATCAAGAAAGAGTCGACAATAAAAACAAAAGACCAAAAGGAACAGTCACAACGAGATGATGATGATGATGATGATGATGATGATGATGATGATGATGTGAAAGAAAAGGTAAACGATGGTACCAAGAAAAGATGATGACGAATATGACGACATCGAAGAAGAAAAAATACCAAAAAAAAAAAAAAGCGAAAGACAAAGGAATAAAATAAGCACTAATGTTGCGACTGGGAGAATGTGAGGAGGAAAGAGAAGAAATACAGAGGAATTAGGATAAACAGTGTTGGTGTAGACTCTGAAGGAAGTATACGATTATTCTAAATGTGGAAATGAAAAACTGACTCTTTACCCACCCTTCTCTACACAGACATTTTTCTCTTTGGTTCTCCTTGCTTCTTTCCTTTACTTTGCTCTCTTTTCCACCGTACCTGTCAGAAACAACATGGACGTGTTTAGATGTGTTTCTGTCAGTTTGGCAGCTGATCCACTACAGGCTGGTGTTGTTGCGCTTCCTAAAAAAGAAGCTGTTTATTTTCTCGCCAGAAGTTTTTAATTCGCTCGCTTATTCAGCTTGTTATTACCGACGATAGATGTGGGAGTTCGAATCCACTTTTCTGTTTGCCAGTTTGACTGTTTGCTGCTTGTAATAACCAACGAAAGTGTTTAATAGCAAAAAGTTCTGCCATAATTTAAATGAAGCATTGGCATCACTAAATTTTGACTAGTTTTTCTTCCGTTTTTATTGTTTTTATATTCCCAATGTTCAAGTCGTTTTAACATTCTACGACAGTTTATTAAATAGCATAGTTTAACAAATAAAGAACTCACGTTCCAATCTGGATAGAGCCCAAAAGCGTCTTAGCGTCCTTGTTGGTGATGAATTATTTTTCACTCCAGAATCCCTTTCCTACAGACGAAACATCACAGGTCTTTCGCTATCCTATCGCTATTTCCATAGAAAGTGCTCAACGAACTACATTCCTTAGTTCCACCAATTCTAACCTTCACGGCTAAGACCCACCATATCACGCACATTGCAGCGAACCATGCTCATACCCTTTGTATTCCATTGGTGAGATGTAAGTTCCACTCGAGTGACTTCTTCCTACGAATGGCTGATTTGTGGCACCGACTCCCAAGAGGATGCTTCCCCAATCACTACAACTATAACCTGTGCATGTCTATAGTTAATCGTTATCTTCCCTAAATTTTCCCATAAACTGTGCCTCTTACTCTGTAACTTTCTACCACGAGTTGCTCTTGGGACTTGTACAGGTTGAACATCACGGTAAGAAATTCTCTTTCGATGTAACTTGAGCTCGCAATTCAGTTTCTCTGGAGCTCGTCTGACATTGGAAGTGACTTACCGATTAGGAAGTGGAAACGATCAATCAAATTTAGTCATTTAACTAATTCTTTTTTGTCCATTTTTAACGCCATACTATATCGTTTGTTTACACTATTAGTAATAGATATAGTTTTAGGCTGTCCGAACATTTTAGATAAAACATTCTCATTATTGTAACAAATTACGCAGTAATTATTCCGATTAATTGCGTTACTTATAACGATTACTTCGCTATGTGAATGTAAAAACAATCTTAGTTGGCAATAATATGTCACAAAAAAGCACTCTTGATTATTAACGGTTATTTTTTTAAAAATAATACACTGACTGTTATTTGCGTCACGTGTCAATAATTGTAAGTAAAAGGATGCACTAAAATAAATAAGCAACTAATCGTTTTAAGTATCTGTCATTATTTGTTCTGACTGGTTTTTCTTCCACCATATTTCTTCTACTTTTTTATAAGGCATCAACTATAGCCTTACAATTGCTAAGCAAGCAGTAAGGATCGAATATAAAGGAATCTTCGATGAGATGTCACGTATT